AAACTGCCATACGAACAGAAGTACTTGAGAGTATGTACTGCCCAAAAAATAACCAATACCAAAAATAATTTCTAAATAATTTTTTAACTGCCAAGCTAAATATACATCAGTAGTGTTAATCTGGAGATTTAGGCTTTTTATGCAAAAGTAATGTAAAGTTTTAAGAAAAGAATAAATGCAGGATTTAGAGATTTCTATCCTTTATTATTGTATTTTCCATTGTTTTAAAAGCAATGCTCCTATTTAACTCCTAAAGGCACCTCAAATTTTTTTATAATACACCAAAATACATAGTATTGGATTCCAATAGAACAAGTTAGAGCAATACTCATGCATTAAACATAAGCTTTATATGATCTATTATTAGTGTTAATCTAAATATAAGGAGTTGGATCTTGGAAGTCCTGTTTCTTTGCTCCTATCATGGCATTAGTGTTTTTTACACCAACAGTTCTCTATACTAGGGCTAGAAACAGTTAGCAGGATTAAAGGTGATTAATCAATTATAAAAAAAAAAAAAAACGTATTTAGTAATCAAGTAATTGTTAAATGTAGTATAAAGATTCTAAAACATGACTTTAGCTGACAGATCAACCCACTTAGAGCAATAACTATAACAAAACTGAAAAAATAAAACCTTTGTCTGTTAATATGCTCCATCCAGAACTCTTTAAGTGGAAAAGTTCTAGTTTCACCTGGTTTAAAATATGTAAAAACCTTTGTGTAATATTTTTTATAAAAATAATTGCGTTGGGATCCATTGTCGCTCAAGTAACGTAACTACACCGCATTGAAGACCCACCACTCCAGCATAGGTTTTACAAACACTAGCTTCCAATATTAGCGTCCTATTTTGCCGGTGGCCCTGTGCCGCTAGAGGCTAGATAAAAGCGCTTCCAGCTGAAGGCTATGCCACTTAACAACCAAATCCCTCTAGAGAAGTCTGCGCTTGTAAGGGAGTCAGAATACCCTTTTCCTGCGATTCAGAAGAGGCTGAGCACCGTGTTTTTTATTTTCCTGCGATTTAGAAAAAGCTGATCGCAGTGTTTTTACTCTTCCTGCGATTCAAACCTAGTGAACGCAGTGTAAGGAGAGCTAATCCCTATATGCTAACTGCCGAACAACGGGGGCCCCGATTGCTGTTCGCCAAAGGAGCCGTTAGAAGCCGCCGGACTGTGACCGCCTGAGACAGAGGGACGGAGCAGCGCCGAAGTGCTGCTAGAAGCTGCTGCTCCAAGCTAACCACCGTAGCTAAAACGGGAGATGCCCCATGCTACAGTAAGTTTAAAATTAACCCTCTTGCAAATCGCCTCTTATTGTTGCATCGGATTGATCCAAATCTCTTTGAGCTGCGATTGGATGGATGGACTGGACCAAAGGCGGGTCTGCAGAAAACCGGACCGAGCCAAAGGCCTTCCCTCCACCGAACCAAAAACAGTAACCTCCTCCTTCCCCCTCCTTTCCATCTGATGCTTAATAAGTGCTCTGCTTGGGTAGAATAGATAGCCCTGTTGGTGTTTTAATTGAAATAAGCTTTCTGATACAACTGCTGATAGTTTTTAAAGGTTTAACTGAATGCTAATGCCCACTACAGACCGAACGAGTCACGTATTGCTGAAGCCAACTGCTACATCGGGAGCTAAACCTCCCTTTGTTTCAGTTGGACCCGACCAGAACCCCTGGGGCCAGCTAAGCTGACGGGTCTTTGAGCTTCATCCTAGTTTAATGCATTCCTGAGTTTATTAATTTTTCACCATAAACTGAATGAAACTTCACTGTTCTGACTGCGGTTAACATCTGTGTGACAGGGTTTATTTACATTTATCTGCTGCTATTACAAAGGACACTTTCAAATGCATTAAGCCTCAAATTTCAAACATCACTCAGACTTTGAATGGACTCTTAAATCCATCTTCCCTTTTTATTTCTTCAATTTTGCTTATTTTCAGTAGTGTTTAGTGTTTGCTAAGTTATTAGATATAATACCGTGTGGTTGTAGCTAATAAAGGTACTACTGTATTTTAACCCGTGGTCTTTTGTGTTTGTTTTACACAGTGAATGATTTATCACTCAGGCTGGATTCAATTTTCTTTCAGTATCATCCAAATAAACAGAGATACATTTAGTTGGTTGGAGATTAATAACGTTACTAAATTAGCCTAAATTACTAAATTGGTGAAAGACAACTGGATTTTTAACAGGCGGATTCAGGAATCTAACCTTTTAGGAAAGGGGCTAAAACCCTGGGCAGTAAGCAAATTTCAGTTATAATCATTTAACTGATGATAAATAACTAGCTTTACCCTTGATTTTAATGACCTATTAATTAACTTAACTTCTTGTTGTAGTTATTTAATATACTCAAAATCTTCTGGTAAGCTGGCACAACAATTGATTACTATTAAAATCAAAATTATCGTTAGCTGCAGCCCTAATATAAACTCTCATAAGGTTAGTTATAACTCATCATGCTTAGTTTAAAGGAGCGTAACAATCTTGAAGCATGTTTCATTAGTGGAGGAGGTCTTCCTGGCTGAAGCCTTGCGTTTGAGTAGAGCATATATTATGCTCATTATAAAGAATCTTTACTATGCACTTAACATGATTAGACATCTATAATTAGATATAGGAGACATCTTTACAAACTGCTTCATTAGATGAAGGGATAATCTTTCAACTAATGAGAAACAAATCTAACTCCAACTAGCAGCTGAAAGCTGGGGAGGGCATATATTAAAAAAAAGAACAGGGGGTTGACACAAAATGCATTGATCTACTTTTAATTAATACTAAATTAGCACGAGGCGTATTGTAATCAGCTGCAGGTCTGAATGTGTTATAACTGTCTGGCTTCTGGGTTAATTGGGGTAAAATGAACTAATATTCAAACGGTTCTTGTATAAATCAAATCCCTGCCTTTTCTCTGTTTAAAGATATTATGGAGGGATGACCTGATCCGATATTGATCAATTATCAGTTCAATATCAGCAAAAACAAAAATATTGGAGAATATCAACCAGCATCTAAAATATTCATTACTATCACGCTGAAAAAACTGTGCTTCTATTAAAGTTTATGAAACTCATTGGTTAATAATAAATGGTTCAATTGTTCTCATACCTGAAGCTGTTGACTGTTCTTCTCTGTTTTTATCAAACATTCTCTAGCATTCCAAACTACAACATAAATAATAAAAGGATGTATATCAACATCCCTAACCCCAGGCTCACACCGACTCCGGTCTTACCGTTGCGGTGCGGTGGGTGCGGCGCCGCAGTGATTCCAAGTCATTAAAAAGACGTAAACCTCTCTCACCGGCTGCTGAGCTGTCCGGCTGCGGTTACCGAGACACTAAATTCCGCAAGAAAGCTATCCTTGCGGCGTGCCGGAGCCCTCCGCAACGAGCTCTTGCAAATATCCTTATTTGGGCCGTGTTATCGCGTGAAGTTACGTGAACTCAAGTGAACTTCTGTTCTCGCGAGTTAAATCTCCGGACCTGTTGCCAGAGCCGCACCGCACCGTAGTCAAAAGGGCGGTGTGAGAGGGGGTGTGCGGGAGTTGCGGTCTCCGTCGGCTCGGTAACTGCACCGGAGCCAGTGTGAGCAAGGGGTAAACCAGTTGCTAGTACATGTGATAACTAGTGAGTAATTAGTCACATATTTCACAGACAGCAAAAGTTGAATTAATTAGTAATCAGTAATGAGTTAATCAGCCTGTTTAATTATGTTTGAACTGTGAAGCCGCTTTAATTAAGACTTAAACTCCTAGTTCTCAGTGGCCCTCATAGTCCTTACAATTTGTTATAAAATGAGTAAAAACCTTTTGCTTAGGATAAAATAATAAAGTTCAGGTCTTAACCTCTTACACCCTCAGGGGGTATAAATAAATTTCTGCCTGACAAAAAACACAAAAGTAAATAACTTATAGCCTCAAAGCTATTAGATTTAAGAAGAAACTTTTGGTACCTCTGTAAAGGTAAGATGTCATAGAATGGTTTTCTGGTGTCAGCACCATTGTAGCTTTGACCCTGCCTGAAATATTAGGGACAAAATACAAAATATTTGGCATTTTTTGAACCTCGCCAAAATTTTCTTTGAAATAAACATTGCAAAACACTACCAAAATATTATTTACAGCACAAAAAAGTAGTACAGACTTTTAAATCTAAATGTTGTGTAAAAATATACCAAATTTGGACTCAATCAGATGAATCATATTTATTTTAGAATGGTATTAGTGAGAAATTTCTTAGGTGGAGGGGCCATTTTGGCACATTTATCCAAAAATGTCACCAAACTGTGCCAAATGTGTTTTTTACATCAATACTGGGGGTTTGTTAAAATTACGAGGTCACGTAGCAGCTGGACCCACCGGTGGGTCCGTAGGGTTCTAGGGGTTAATCCGTTTAAGTTTTTGTGGATTTTTGAATGACAAAAAATCAAGTGTAGTCAACAGTCCCTACAATTCATGGGAATTTTAAACAAGCCTTTAAATTGTCAAAAAAGAAGAAAAATGTCGCTAAGACGGTGAAGCAGAGTGTAACGTGGTCATACATTTGTAATAAACAGCAAATAGAGTTAGCAAGCTAACGCTTAACAATAAATCAGAAATGGACCAAGGTTTTAATGACTTGTTGCAGTGTTACTTTATCATGTCAACTAGTATTAGCAATGGTTCATGACATCCAGGGATGATTAGAGAGAAGTAGATTTTTTTACTGCTTGCATTCAGGATGGGCAGCAGTTAAAGCTGACTGGCCATGTGAGTTAAGTATTTACTATGTCAACTTGTTCGACCAACGTGTTTCCATCTCCTCTATAGGCCATTTATTTGTTTCTTCAAAACAATCAAATATCAACTAAGTTTGTTTATTTAAATTTAGCTGTTTCCATCAAGTTTTGCTAATGAAATACTTCAAAATATGCATATAGAAAACTCAAATTTCCTCCTTCCCTCTTTATTTCAAGCAGGTAATATAATCTAAGCGATGGAGTACTCACGGCTGAGAATGGGCCGTCTCATAACGTTCAAACGGATGACTGAGGTCGTGTTTGTTGTTCATGTAACACTGGGTGCACAGGTCGTAGTCGAAGCACACTTTGCACTTCCATCGCATTCCCATGATTCCATGCTTCTTGCAGCTATCGCAGATGATATTGGAATGACGGACCCCTGCAAACAGAACAAGTAGACTGACATTTGTCTTTCCTTTTCTTTAAAAAAAAATAAAAAATTAAGCTTTATTTTTTTAAATTTTATGCGGTATACAATAAAAAGTCCCAAAAAAATGGTAAAATCATTAACATTAAATTTGTGAATTATAACAATAAACAATGCCAGAGGTAATGAAGAACAAAAAAGGTTCAAAAAGCTCGATAAAATACTCCCAGTGGCATGACCTCTTTTTTGTATTTCAATTAACTAAATGAGCTTCTGAGGCAGAAAGATGTTGCTTTAAATGGAGCAAAATGCTAATGACTTGCTTTAGTGAGAGCGTATGTTGATGTGGGTGTGTGTGTACCTGTCTAGCCCTTAGAGAGAGGACCATTTTTCCAATTTCACCATCAAATTGAAGACCAATTGTTGCAAGGTTAGGACATTTTGCAGGTCCTCAAAAGCTATTTTGCTAATGGTTAGGTTTAGGGCTAAGGTGTCAATATGCATGGGTAATGGTTAGGTTTAAGTTAGTTTTAGGGTTAGGGCATAGAAAGGGTAGCCTGACGTAGTCCTACTCAATTCTAGTCAGAATATGAGTCTGATACTGCTCCATAGAGCTTGGATTATGGGGCGTGTTTCGAACGAACCAGGAAAAAAAATGCCTTTGCACTCAATTGGATAGACCTACAACCAATAAGAGCAACAGAGTGTGTGACGTATGTTAAGCGAGGCATAGTTGTTGTCAACAAAAATCAAAGCGTGTAGTTGCACGAATAGAATAAGAAGATGAGCCTTGATCGCGTTTCTCTGTTCCTCTTTTAAAATTAATTTGCTGTCGATATCTTCTAGAACAGACCTAATAGCAGAATCTACACACCTCAACTATCCAGCGGCAGCCATTTTTGTTGTCACCCAAGCGCACTTTGGTGACGTGGTTGATTACGTTACTGTTGATCATCTGTCCATCATCGTATAAAGCCCGCCCTGACAATTTGATTGGCCCGCCAGATATTGTGCTAGCATACTGGCGCTACTATTGAGCAATGCCAGACCGAACTTCCCGACCACATTGTGGGCGGGACTAAGTTCGGAATGGCACCCTGGCTTTAGAAATGGTTGAAAATGAGTGAAAATCAATAGAAGTAAATGGGAGTCAACACATGATCCTCACTACGACGGCAGAAAGAGCATGTGTGTGTGTGTGTGGGTGTGTGTGTGTGTGTATATGTGTGTGTGTGTGTGTTTGTGTGTTCCCCAAATAAAACTGGAGGGGTGATGACAAGAACTATCAAAATGAGTTCTCCAAAGGCTTTGAGAGCCCAGATGATGACTAACAAACAGGAATAAGTCGGACTAAACACAAACACTGATCATCTCAGTAAATAAATAACAGAACAAGGGACTTTCTTTTACATTTCAGTTGGATGCTAGCCATGTTCGTTAAAGATATAAAACATAACCCATTTATGATGATGCACAGAAATAGTTTGAAGACCACGATTGTCTAACTTCTAAATGACCTAACCTGAAGACAGACTTAAAAATCGGACATTGTTCCAAACAGCAAAAACATTATTTTACTTAACAGGGTCACACAGAGAGCACTCTTTGATGTGGTAGCTCTTACTGGGGGAAGTCAATATTTATTCCTGTTAGTAAGGTGTTAAGAAAAAAAGTCAAAGGAAAGAGAAATCTAGAAGTTTCTTTTTTACTTTTTACATTTAAAGACAAAGCTGTTGTTTAATTATGCTGCGAGAGGGTGAGAGAGAGCAGGACTATCAATAGGTAACCAACCTTTCAGAATAATGCTAAACAGCACAACCAAGTAAGCGGTTTTTATCTGTGCAGTGAAACAGGCTGGATTTAGAAAGGTTGGCAGCCTTTTGGAAGTCTAGGAGCAAAGGTAAGCACCTAGACTGTCTAAAGAATAACCACAAGATTTGCTGCTTAAGCACTGTTAGCAATGCTAACTGGTCATATAAGATACTAAAAGCAGTTCAAAATGAGAGACACAAGCTTAAGAAAAATTGTCATGATTGCAAAGCATCATGGGTAAAAACTGGAAATACCTTAACCCTAAATTTACATTTCAATACATCCTGATTTTCAGTGCTTACCAATCTGAGCATTGTCATACAGCAGCAGGTCGTAGGCACCCTGGTATCCTGTACGGTAGTTGGTTCGTGTGCCGCTGTCCCACTGAACTACCACCGTCTTGTCTGGAGTTGTCGTGCTCCCCTGCCGTCCGATCTCCACCACGGTGCCCACGTGCCCCTCGCCGTCGTCTTGGTTTCCCCACTTCCAGTCAAGGCCGCGCACCACACGCATGCCCACTTCCATGCTGCCTCTTTTAGGGCCTGGCCTGCAGGCTGAAGGCAAAGGCCGAGGCCTGGCAGCACAGTCCCCTGCGCTGCTGCGCCTCCGGGCCTTGTGAGAGGCGGAGGCGGATCGTGCAGAGGGTATCGCCGGGACCGACGGTACCAGTGTTGTTTCAGGGAACAGATCAGGGGTGACTATAAGAAAGACGAAGGTAGAAGCACAAGAAACCTGTTAGAAATACAATATAACTGCAGTAAAACAGGATTAAAAGATAAGTGACATAAAATCGCCTTCATATGCCTTTTATTTATCATCTATCAAATACACATGATGCCATATAGATCCATACCACTACTTTTATACAAGGTAATCCTCCAACCTGTGAGCACTTTTGCACAGCCTACGCACAACTGTAAGCTATTGTCGAGGGACTCAAAAAAAAACATGCCATATGTCTCATTTATTTTCGAGCAGAGTTCTGTTGGCTGGCGGATGTTTCACTGAAGGCCTCGCTATGTGTCATGGCTTACTTCTGCAGAGAGCAGCTGGACTTGACTGCTGCATCCCGCTGCTTTTATCAAGCCCTGACCTGCCACAAACACACAGACACATTTGCACTGACATCTTAAACAGGATCCACAGGTGCTGTTGAGCCCCTTTTGGCTTTGTACCAAACTCACAGCGAAACAAGCAACACCAACTGGAAGTTTGAAAATAGGGAAAAAATAAAAGGTTTAAAATAAACCACTCTTGTAGAAAGAAAAAAGAAACATTTGTGAACACTTAAAGACAAACCTTAAACTGTAGCCAAACGCCATGAGACTAAGACTTTTTTTTTTTGATAATATAATATATATATATATATATATATATATATATATATATATATATATATATATATATATATATATATATATATATATATATATATATATATATATATATATATATATATCTAAAGAAACTTAAAAAAAGATCACATCACCTATTCCTTTCTAAGTGATATTAAATCAGATTCCACTTTTCTGTTTTAGGTCTGTTAGGAATACTAACATTATTTCTGATTCCAAAAAAAAGAAAATTAAAGGGAAGCTTCTTCAATTCAAAATGTCAGGATTAGCGTTGAGTTCAAGGTTTTATACAGTAGCCCAACAAAACCTTGGTTTTGTCTTCAAACTTGGAAACAAAGTCCTTGGGTTGTTTTTAATTTCCTTTTTTTGGAATGACTATGACCTGGATGACGGGGAATCTTCATCAGCATTATTTCTGATTAATTATTGCAAGGAGAGGATATTAAAGTGAAAAAAGATGTATTGAATTCTTTTCAGAGGTTTAAATAAATTAGGAGCAACAAGTCTTTAAACCAGAGGTCACGGATTAGAGCACCTGCTGGCTAATCCGGACCCAACCTGATTTAAAACATTTATGAAGTTAGTTCTTTGAATATATAAGAATTATGCTCTAATTTGTAGTTACAGATCTGTTGTTACTATATTTTAATTTGACAAACCGGATCTTCTCGCTGTTCTGTTTCCTGTTTGGTGCGATTGCAATAGCGGATCCTGACCTGGCCGGACCAAACATGCTTTTCAAGCATGTTTGGCTCAACCTGCTGCTGTGAAGCAGGATTCTCCACCATGAACAAAATCAAAAATAAATATCGATCCATGCTCACTAATGAGCACCTTGATATGCGCTTTAGAATGGCTTTGTCGTCATTCAAACCCAAGTTTAAAGCCCTGCAGGTCAGCGTAAAGCCCACTGCTCTCATTAAACCATAAAAAAGAAAGAAAAAAATAACGGTCAGTTCAGGTTTTTTATAAAATATGTGAATCAGGAAATTGTCTATATACCAAACTGAAAGATTGTTGTTCTCTACTTAAAAAAAAAAAAAAAATCACTTTGGATTTTAAAAATGGAAGAAAAAAAATTTTTTTAAACATTTTTTAAAGGAACATTTTCCATTTGATAAAGTGCATCAGTGATCAAATGTAACATCTATTAATCTTATTGTTCTGGAAGGTTAAATGTCAAAGCAACAATAAAGCCAATCAGAGGCAGGCTGAGCAATCAGCTCAAAAGGGAAATATCTAGTTCAATACATTGCAAAAACAATAAGAAAAGAACACACATTTAATAAATACATGAGATTATTGTTTCCCCGTTTTTCTTGTTGGAGGTTTTTGCCATGATTTCTTTCTAATGTCAAACTTCCTGCAAAGCATTGCAAGAAGGTGGCACTAAATGTTTTAATCAGGTCATACAGAATTAGTTTAATCATACCAAAAGCAACAAAAACTAAATAGTTATAAGTGGAATTAAATAAATATAAATAATTTCAGTCATTCTGAACAACCAAAATTAGGAAATATAGTAAAAGAGGCCTAAGCCTTGTCACAACAAAAGAGATCCAAGGGCTCTCGTTTCAAACCCATAACAAAATGCACTATTGGTCCCAAATGAATGCAGAAGATTGCTAAGAGCTAGAGACAGAAAATAATAGTAAAAGGAAGCAGCATTTACAGGATATGGAAGCTTGAGTCAGCAGTACAGCAACGAACTTCTGCTGAGGACCGTGATAATCTAATTAAACCCATTAATCTCATACGACGTTTTGAAACCTTTTATTCATGTACTTGCACTAGTTTTTTTGACTTATGTGTACAAAATTAGGTGTCAAATCATACAAGAAATGAAAAATGTCAGGAATGCCTTTCTATGTGGCATCAAATTTAGAATCCTTATGGCTATTAACTTAGTAATTCTTCCAACAAAACCTACACGTTTTAAACAACCAGGGGAACCTAATTTATGCCTGCCTGCCTATTTGTTTAGCTTGTTAAATCAAATTGAAAAAAAGAAGACATGATATACAAATCTACTTCCAACTGACCAAACAATCACCATGATTTATAACTTTGAAGTTGCTATTTAGTAGCCAGCGGAGAACATATAATTGGCAAAAGTTGGAGAAAAAAAATCAGAATCTATAACCAACAGCACAACCAACAGTTGTTGGATGTTCCTACAACTACAAATGACTTAGCACAAAAGAAAAAAATGAAGCTTATTCTGTACAAAGGGTAAGAAAACGATGGCGGTACAGAAAAGTAATGTGAACTATCATCAATGCCATCTCTGACATGACATCTTTTGTGTTCAAAAAGAATTGCAAGGTCCATTTCCACGACACTTAACATACAGTAAATGTCAAATATCAGCCAGAAAATGTATGGTCTTTGTGGAGTCTTTGCTACATCTTCTGCCATAAGGAAGCTGTATGCCCCACTTAGCCTTGGAGTTCCCACTGATGCCAAGACCTTGCAATACCAGGAGCGAAGAAACCAAAGGAGTGACCTCAATCCTCCAATGTTCATATGACAGCATTGATGATGGTGATTCCCTCCATAAAGTAATGTTAAAAAGTGATAGTAGAGGTGCAGAAACCACCCAGATAATGCATATCCATAGTGACAGATTTGGCATATGTGATTTGACTATTGTTGGGAAAGTGCTGCTGATTTGTAGAATGATCATGGAAAAGGACAACATCTATAAAGCCTGGCTTACACTGTACGATTTTTTGCCCTTTTCGTGTCGATTTTCCAGTCTAATTTTTCGATCGGGCCGACTTTCAGCCTGATCGTGCATCATGTTTTGTACAGGGGATAACAAGGGGCGCTTAGCCTCTCACGACCAACTCCTGATCAAGAATCAATAAGGTCGGGAGAAAATCAAACATGTTTGAAATTCGGTCGGCCGTCGTGGGCAAATCGCTCAGTTGGCGGGAGCAAACAAAGATTCTTCTTCTTCATCTTCCTCTCAGATGAAAGCACAAAAGCATGTTGGGGTGTGAGTGAAATGGAGTTCTTTCTGTAAAATTGACAGACTGTAGTACCAACGTTTAATCAGCCATGTCTTTGTCCAAATACGTTGTTGCTTTTCTAGCACCTAGTGGCTTAGCACCGGGAAGGCTATTAAATGTCAACAGAAACAAAAAAAGCAATCCAGTTGGTCATGGCAAGCTTTGGTTTGGTCAAATAAACATGTTTTGAAAAGTAGAAATGGCTCTTACTGCAACTTTGTGCACAGTTGTAATGTTTTGTAGGTATTTAACTTTAAATTAACAACAAAATATGTACTTGAAAACCACAATTTCAAGGATGTATTTTTGAACTTAGCATAAAAGTTAAGTTAATATAACCAAAATAAGATGAGGGACAGATGACTAAAAGCAGCTAAGATTGTGAATACAACATCTTTATTAAGATTAAAAGCTCGGTTCAGCTTTATTCTACATCAGCTTACCCTTGAAAACATACGGGATACAGGGATTTAAAGACAAAGTAAGCTGCTTAGACATTGTTTTATGTCCAAAATGACAGCTTAGCCATGATGTGCACAAAAATCCTGTCATCAGAGCTGACAGAATACAGAAAGAGGATTTGTCTCTCATGGAAGCAATTAACAGGATTCTTCTTGTGAGATCCTTTAACTGATAGTATTACAACACATTTAAAATTGCTGTAAAACAGCAAGAAGGAAAAAATAATGGTTGGCTAAACCCTACATGGAAACTCCCTTTCAAAACCATCCTATACCTCAAACACCAAACACTCTGCAGGCCCTATCAGTGTGTTGAAACAGTGCTAACTCAGGCTTACAATTACAAAATAGTCCATTACTGAAAAGTCAACACAATAAAGGATGTTTTATGGAAGACTCTGCCTTCTTAACGAGGTCCTTAGAGAGATCCAGTTTACTCTAACATGTTTTTGACCGGAAATACTATAAATGTTGTATAGTGGTTTAGCAATAAATATTCTTCAAGGTGATAAAGAATATGTCCAGGGAGCTACAGATTACCGTGATGGTAAGTAGGCTTTCCAAACTCAAAGATTTCGTAGCTCAAAAATTCACTCGCCTCTTCTGGAGCTGCATTTCACCTTTCGTTAATAATAGTCTAGTTAACACAATCAGATAAACACAAATCAAATGAACATTGTGCCAAATAAAATAAAAAAACACAAAAAAAAATAAATAAATCGCCATCAGAGCCAGTGGTACCTCAAACACAGCTATGCCGTGACTGGGGTGATGCAGACGGGCTAAGGTTAACCCTGGCTGTGGCCGTTTCTCAATTCACAAGAATGCGAGTACAAACTCGTGTCCTCGCCAAGTATGTTCATGAGAA